ATTTTTGCTAAACTGAACGGAGGTAAGCCTTTTGCAAAGTTGGATTTATCCGAAGCATATTTACAAATCCCTGTTGCTGACGAGTCTAAAACCCTGCTCACCATAAACACACACAAGGGTCTATTCCGGCATAATCTACTACCCTTCGGAGTCAAGACGGCCCTATCCATATTTCAGCAAATAATGGATACTATGCTACAGGATGTTCCAGGTGCTGCAGCTTATCTAGATGATATAATAATTATGGTAGTGGACAGAATATACTTAGAAAAGGAGCTCGACCAGGTGCTGATGATAATAGCCGAATATGGACCTCGACTTCGTCCAGAGAAATGTGACTTCTGTACGCGAAAAGTACGCTACCTTGGGTTTATAATCGACAAGGATGGCAGAAGACTAGATTCGGAGAATACCCAGTCAGTGAAAACTATGCCCAGACCGACGGACGTCCCCACACTACGATCTTTTTTGGGACTAGTTAGACATTATGGAGCTTCTATGTCGAACCTTCATCAATTACGTGTCCCCTGAATAACCTTCTGTCGAAGAATGTAAAATGAAATTCGTCTGCAACTTGCCAGTCTGCTTTCGATGAAATCAAGAAAGTACTAGTCTCGGATCTGCTGCTCACCCATTACGATCCGTCTTTACCCATTGTAGTAGCACCAGACGCTTCAAACTACGGCATTGGAGCAATTATTTCTCACATCATGCCAGATGGATCTGAGAAGGCAATATTACATGCAGCTAGATCGTTAACGTCAGAAGAACGTAACTACAGTCAGATCGAGAAGGAAGCATTGTCGATCATCTTTACTGTGAAGAAATTTCACAAGATGATATATGGACTTCAGTTCACAATATTAACTGACCATTAACCATTACTAGCCATTTTTGGGTCAAAGAAAGGAATCCTTGTTCATATAGCTAACCGGACCTACCGATGGGAAACCACACTTCTGGGTTACGACTCCAAGATCAAGTGTCAGTCTATTACCGCCTTCGGGCAAGCTGACGCATTGTCAAACCCCAGAGGAGACTCTCGTAGCAAATATAAAAGTTGAGGAAGAAGTTCATCGCGTATCGGATGATGCAATCAATGGACTCTCGATAACCTTTGAAGTTATCAAGAAGATCACTGAAAGTGATAAGACATTGAGCGCAGTTAAATGCTATCTCTCGACAAAATGGCCAAACAATCGCCTTGACGGAGAACTTTGACAACATTTTTGTCTACGGGACTCACTAATGGTTGTTGACTCGTGTATTATGTTCGGTGATCGAATTGTTATTCCGAAGTTATTACGTCACAAGGTTCTCAAGCAGTTTCACAATGGCCATCCTGGAGTCAATAAAATGAAATCGAAAATCACCAACGTAGATGATCCATGTCGAAATGATTGGAGGCCTACTCGAGTTAGACGTGAATGATGTGACAAACTAGCTAATGTCGAAGTCACACCTTATGGTCAGCACTTTACGTGGACTACCCCATCGACGTATCAAGGTACCATAGATGCTTTGAAGACTGTACAACACAGAGAGCGTTATTACAGAAATATATTAGTTAAAGTAGACACAATAGAAAGTAAGACCATTGCCGCATGGGCCAGTCCATTGTATACGATTAATTGATGCGCGTTGTTTGTCCTTGACCTTGAGAGGATCGATGATTTGCCCGATATTCAATGACCCAACAGCTGGATGATTTGACTAGGGCTCGGTGACATTTCGCTGGCCCTATAAAATCGTTGACACGCAATTATGCCTGTTGGCCGTCACTGGACAAAGATATCGAGAATAAATGCCTTAACTGTCCATCATGCATTCAAGCCGCTAAAAATCCTTTGAAATGCAAACCTCACTATTGGCCTACGCCTGCATTACCCTGTGTAGGACTTCACGCAGATTTCGCTGGTTCAATCCAAGGAAAAATGTTTCTAATTATCGTAGATGCATTTACTAAATGGCCGGAAGTATATACCATGCTGAACTGTACAACATCAGAAACAATCCACAAGTTGTCTACCCTGTTTGGCTGTTTCGGAGTACCAGAAACCTCAGTAACGGATGACGGCTCGCGACTCGCCGCAGAATCGTTTAAGCATTTCTGTAGAGCAAACGGAATAACTCATCTCCGTTCTCCACCCTATCGTCCGAAATCAAACGGACAAGGAGAACGCTTTGTGGACACGTTTAAACGAGCATTACTGAAAAGGGGGAGGCGAAAGGACGACTGGGCAGGTAATCAAAAAAGTTTTAACATCGTACAGATCCACCCCGAACCCGAAGTTTTCAGATGGTAAGTCTCCTGCGGAAGCCATGTTCGAAAGGCGTATTCGAACCGTCTTCAGAGCCATGTTGTCATCCAAATTAGTGGATGATCTCAGTCACAATCCATGTATCCGTAACTTTAATGTTGGCGACAAAGATGTCATTGAATCCTTCATCGGGAAGAACCGATGGGAGCCGGTAGGAGTTGTACAAAAATTGGGAAGAGTTCTGTTCAGAGTTCGAGGAACTTTTGGAACGTGTATACGACACACAAATCAAATCCATAGGGACAAAAGAACGACACAGACTTGAAAAAGCCGGCCAAATTTTTCGTTAGAGTTAATCTTAGATACACTTATGCCACACAAGCCAAAGAACACTGAAAAAAAGCCTCGGACTTGGAAGACGTCAATAATAATGGGACGCCACCACAACCCAGTTGTCGAACTACAAGTAGATCCTAGAAAGAAATCTTATTCGGGGGAGATGTTGAGTCGGCTTTCGGATAACTTCAACGGAGCCTTCAGGGGCCCAAAAGGAGCCGAAGAGTCCTAGCCAATCACAGCACGATGGAGCACTCTAGAATTCCAACGTGGCGTGCTACTATTGATCGGTAACATAATATGTCATTAACGGATTGGCCGAAATATGATGTTGATTTAACAAACGCTAACATCTACAAATACCCATGTTTCCTATACAAAAACGAACCTTGGAGTAAAGTATTTCTCTCATACTCTGCGACTCCTCTCTGATGTTCAGGTCACTGTGTAGTTCTAGTTGCGGGTTTTCAGAATAGCTTAGGAAACGAATGTAGCGTTCTATTCGCAAGACGGATGAATTTTTGTTTTGATAAACTGTTCTAACTAACGTTCTCATATAAGTTAATTCTGGGAGGATAGGGAGGAATGTGATTATGATAGGTTGTTTTGCTCATAACCGTTTTCACTCGAATAAAACACTGGTACGTTCCTGGAATAATTTAAACTGAATAGAACACTCAACCAAAACAGAACACAATGAAGCTCGTATAAGAACATGGGAAGAATTTTTTGCTGTTCAATAGGAAACTCACTTCCTATGGTGTCGATAGTTTCAAAAAAAGCTCGATGAGTTCTTTGCTTCAAAAATCATTGATCTAGATCACTGTCGGCACTACTGCTACACCAAAGCCAGACTGAAATAGCTGATAACTCAAAAGAGAAAAATCATCTCTTTGATTGCCGGAAAACGAGCACAATAACCGATCTGATAACCATGATCATGACAAGGAATAAATACTACTCCGTAGACCTGGTTATGTCATAAAACTGTTTCCTTCCTAGCTGCGCAAACTGCAATCTGTATTTATCCACAAACAAGGGACTGGTTTGAGAAATACGACTAAAGGTAAATCTGCATTTCAAGTGGCTTTCGGCCTATTTTTTGGGCCCATAAACTAACGTATTTTTATTAATTCTCGCGTAAAACTTTATTATTGTGCCCTTCTCCCTCAAACTGTAACGTTCGACCGCTCAGTCCATTCAGTAATATAAACAGCAGTAGGGTTTCACCAAGTTTTTAGGCGGTAGAATTTTCTTCAACCCATAGCGGTATATAGGCAAAAAGACGTCATAATGGATGTATCAGATTTTTATAACATAATCATGGGATAGTCGGAAGAGGAGGTTTTTATTTCAAAGCACACAAATTTTGTGATATCTAACAAAGGACGATGGAAAATATCTTGCTTGCACGGAACAAAGAAGTAAAAAAGAACTTAGCTATGGTGTTCTATTGTAAACAGGAGGTGCTCAGCTAACTCTGAACCACTGAAATTAAGCAATTACTTCACTTTTATTCCTTGAATCGACTTTCGCTGAAATATAATTTTTATCAGCTCATAAAACAATATCAAGCCATGTCACTCCCTTGGTAAAGTGATGTTGCCTGATGGAGGACCGCTGTGTTTCGTCCGGTGTCTGACCTTGACACATAACCATAAATGACGAATACTGTTCCACGAATGTCTAGTGCTCCAATGATATACGCTATTGTCCTATTGCTTCCTTCTTCCTCTAGAACTTACTTTCTCTCTACAAAGTCTCACGTCAGGCCTTTTCAAAAAGTCAGAAAATAAGTATAGAGATGGGCAGTAAAGCGTGTTACGAAGCTAAGAAACGGGCTTTCCATAGACCGAAATTAAAGAGGAGACTTGACAATCACGTGGCCACTTGTTAATTACCATCTCCTGGTTGAACCAGCAGTGTCTAATGCACACTTATCCATCGTTATGTGTGATTATGCTATATATATATATATATATATATATATATATATATATCGTTTATTATAATCTCTTCCTGTTTTATTTTTACTCATCAGTCTCCGCATAGACTCTATCTATTAATTTATTTAATTATTTATTCCTCGAGGTTGTAACTTTTTTGAGTGGCTAGAATAATGCCCACTGGAAACTACTGGAGACCAGGATCCCTTCTGAAAAACTAGAAGCAAGGATAAAGTAATCATTATGCTTATACATGCCAATCACAAGGATATCAGATCTATTGCAATGCAAATTTTTTCATTCTTCAGTTTCTGAAACTCACACCTCTTCGGAAGTTGAAATTCACTCTGGCTGTCTAGAAGCAGATCTCAGTGAACAAATTGACAACCGACTGAAACTGACATTGAAAATTGAAGTTGGATTTTTATGTATCTGCTCTACTTAAACTTTTTTGAAGGTCAGTTTCTGACACATGGAAATTCGATGATTCTACTTCTAAGCGGATGTTGCTTTTGTTTATGGGGATGTTATTATAATTTACTCTGCAACATTAGAAAACTTTGGAATTAAGTGATTCACTATAGATCCGTGAGCTTATGCATAAATGCACACCTTCAGGTGAGCCTATACTAAAAGGAAGCAGTTATCCAATGCCTCCTGGATTTCAATGGTTTTATGACTAAAATCACTCTTTGGTGTATGACTTCGAAGCTCAACAATTTCCAAAACCTATAGATAGTTTAATATAAATGATCACAATGGCGTTTATGTTAATTGTCGTTTAGATACCGTTATTTTATTCGAAATTTCGACGTTTCACCAACCTGCGACATGTCTGAATTTCTATCTAATGTAAGGTGAGAGATATGAGTTAATTAAGGGAACTAAAACAAACATTCACGGGTCTCATAGGATCTCCATTCTGGCTGTTAAACCTCATTCGTTTCCAAAGCCATGCTATCCATTTATTTATTTGAACACAGATATTGGTACAAAAAGGCACCGAATACATATGCACCAAACGTCATTTGATTTGTGTGAGGATCGGGATACTGCTATACATACTAAAATATATGATATATTGGAGTGTTGTGTAAAGGGGAATCAAAGGATTTTGGAGAACGATAGGTGCATTACATGAAATTGTGCTTAAATAAAGATTTAGGAGGAAATAAGAATTGGATTTATATCGGTTACTGTTATCCACATTGGATCATAATGTTTTAAACCATTTATCACGGTTGTCTCCGACCTTTATTTAATTCATAAAAATTTGTATAATGGGGCACCAAAACATTTATGCCTTATACAAACTAGTGAATTTGTGTATGGGTTAGAATACTGTTCGGGTGCTCAAGCTAAGTCGAGTTTTTTTGAACGGCCACTCACATGCAAATAATTTTCGAAAAACATCTGTGATGGAATAACTAAAGTTTGTGTATACGTTGCGCTTTCATAGACGACAGACCACACTTACAGGAATGCAGAGATTCTTTGCATCGTGCCCAATATTTGATCATTCTGACTTGTGCACCGAGATACAAATGATGCAATTTGATGGAACCCAGTCGAATCCTTTATGGTCTTACCAGACTTTCATACATGCTCTCATGGATTGAAGTCGAAATATATTTGGTATTTAAATGCATTTAGAAAATTAAAGCCTGCTTCGGTTCGGGCACCCGAGCAGTATCTTAGCCCTCACACAAATCGAATGATTTATGTGGCATATATCTATTTGGTGTCTCTCTGTACCAATGTTTATGTGTTTAAGTAAAATAAATAAAATCAACATTGGCTGGCATTGGAATTACTTATGTTCTCAGTTTATTTGATGCCAGCGTCAGAAAACAGATTTTTTATTCCTGTGAGTATTAGCACTAGCTAGAAACAAGTTTACTTCATGAAGTTGTTACCATAAACAATCATTATTATCTTTTTGGTGCTCTGAAATTCAAGTTTTGTATATTTCATAGTTCATTTGGATTATAAACATGACCACTGAAGTTATTACTTCTGAAGACTTTCATTTACGTTTTTATTTTTCATTGGATTTTTAAAAGTTAGGAATGCCGTATGCCAATCAACCTATCGTCACATTAACAAGCTTTAACAATGAAAACATAAAGTTTATACTGGAAGAGACTGATTTAAGTGTAGCCAATGCTATTCGGCGTGTTTGTATCGCTGAAGTCCCTACTCTTGCAATAGATTGGGTACAGATTGAAGACAATAATACAATGTTAAATGATGAATTCATTGCCCAACGTGTTGGGTTAATTCCACTGACATGTGATAATGTAGTTGATAAAATGACGTATTTCCGAGAGTGTCCTTGCCGCGAATTCTGTGAACAATGTTCCGTTGAACTTACATTGGATGTATGTTGTACTACGGATGCACCAAGACATGTTACAGGAGCAGATCTCATCAGCAGTAACCGTGATGTACAACCTGTACCATCAAGAGATGCTGATGACTCGTCATACGTCGGTCAGGTTAGCGCATATTTTCTTGATATATGTCATGTTTAATTTGATATGGCGTGTGCTATCTTTTAAGATTTTGGTTTATCAGAACTAAACTAGGATTTATTTGTCCATTTTATTTACTTAAATCCAAAGTTTGTAAACTGTATATAATTCTGTTGAAACGTGGATTTCTAGTTAGTTCACTCTATTAACTTACTTTCTCTGTGTGATTTTCAGGAATCCATACTAATTGTTAAAATGCGCAAGGGGCAACGCCTGAAATTAAGAGCGATCGCAAAAAAAGGTTTTGGTAAAGAGCATGCAAAATGGAATCCAACTGCTGGTGTAGGGTTTGAATACGACCCAGATAATGCCTTAAGACATACATTTTTACATAAACCCGAAGAATGGCCACGTTCGGAATATTCAACTTTACCGGAAAATGAACATCAGGCACCCTATGATCCAACTGGAAAGGTGAGATACTTTTTCAAGATTTAATGCCTTAATTATTTGCATGTATAACAATCACACAATGTACTAATGAATAGTCTAAGGCTTTCGATATCATCCATTGGAATACTTGTTCAAACCTACTTCAACCTGTATAATTTATGTAAGGAGCATGAATTTAGCCTAACAGTCAAGTTTTGGTTTCATTAGAGAATGAATAACCTATAAAATTGATACCACCTATCGCTCATTGGTGAGATAAAAGTTTGTCTCGTTTATCTTTTCATACGGTATTTAGTATATAATGTGACTGGTTTTGAGTGGTTTGTTCCCAGAACACTATTTACAAAGAACGTCCTTCTTGCAGGTTCCGTTTTTTATTTGCAACTGCTGTCCTAACTTATTAACTTCAACTGGACTTAGCTGTGTCGGAACAGTAAATCATTTGTTAAAGATGATACCTCAAGATATGTTTTGGCGACACCTGAACTCCAAATTATTCTAGTTGTGGCACCCAAAACATTCTTTCGTTAATCATACAACAACATATTCTATGGTGTAACAGACGATTATCTTAAACTTGAATTAGTTAACAGAAACGTATATTGAAAATGTTTCGTTATCACGAATTACAATTTAACAATTATCTTTACATACGTTTGTACAGAACCAAGGCTATCTAGTACGTCGTTCATTAAATATTAGTAGGTCTGTGTTACGTTCCGCAGACAGAAAGTTATGTATGAGTTCAAAACACTCTGTTTCAAGTTTTTCTTAGGAGATGCAGTTGTGTCACTTAAGAAAACCATTAAGTAGATGTAAATAAGGAGTAGAAGTCTTTTGTGATTTTCATCTCAAGGTGCTTATGTTTACCAGTTGGATTGCAACCGTATTTAAGGAGCATGTGTAACGTGAATGTCTGTTTATTTATTTATTTTAACACATAGATATTGGTACAAGGAGGCACCAAATACATATGCGCCACACAAATCTCATTCGATATGTGTGAGGGCTGTGATACTGCCCGGGTGCCCAAACCGAGGCAGGTGGTTTTCGTAGGGGGCCACTCCCCGAGCCTTCGACCTGAAGGTCTGGTCCACAAGGCAGTGGAGCATCGTGAGGAGATGCAATCCCATGGATGCCGGTGACCAACAATTGGTTCATACGCCATTTGTTCCTTCAGGATACTGGAGCCCATGTGCACCATTGGTTTGGAATCCGGTTAAAGCGCCGGACATTCGCTTTTCGTCCTCTCATTTTCGTAAGCAACACTCCCGCCACGAGAAGGCAGTGAGTAGGACTTCCCTGGCAGAGACTATATACGCGTGGCCATGTGAGAGCATTTCGAGAGGGAGAGCGGACTCTCCCCACTCTCGGCCATACCAGGGCATTTGGGGACCAATTAAAGTGCAATTAAACTACAAAAATTTCGAACAACATTACGATAAGTAACTGTATGGTGATGAACTATTATTATCTTCAGTAAATTGAACTACAAACACAGATAATCCTTTCTTGTCTTACTGACAGTCTTAAGAAAAAACAAATCCTATTCAAAATGCTTAAAGAATTAAATACTATCGAGATAAATGAGCAATTATTGAATATGGATGTATTTATAATATCCTTGAAATTACAGCAACGATTGTCTCACTGAAATTCTAACAAGACAAATAGGAGACATATCTTTCAGTCAGTCAGTCACAACATAGGACCAGGCACATATGTGCATCGCTCCAAGTTGCCACACCTCATTAGCACAACAACATGAACACCGAATTCATAGATGTAGTTACTTCAATGGGGGTAATATATATAGAAGAAAAATTGCATATAAAAGTATAGTACAAGAAGAAAGAATTAGTTCGTAGAAAGAAAGATGTGAAGCGACTTTAATTTCATAGTGTAAGGGAAGACAAAGAGTGTATACACCGACGCCATTGTGATCGATTCTGAGCCATGTCACTCAGAGTCCCAACCATTGGTTACGATAGTCACGCGGACTCCAACCAAGTAGTCTGCATCTATCAATATGGCTCAGATTAGAAGTTAGTGACTGCAAGCACTGATGCCACGTTTAGGTTTGGCCACCCCTAACTTTCTTCTGACTGTTTCCAACACTAGTCAACATTGTGCATCGTGGTGGTGGGTGTTCAGGTGTCTTTAGCCGCATTTATGATGACGAATGCCGTGAACGTAGAAATTTGGGCGCCCAAAACGATTATTGAAATGCTATTAAGCACAATAATGACATAAAAAGTGATGGAAACAATTTCTAGAGATTTAAACTAATTGAAAACACATTTTTTTGTTAATCTTTAATATATTATAACAATACAGCTAGAGTGGTTATGAATACGTGATTTATTATAAGTACCCAAACGATTAAGTAATAGTGGATGTTACTGTTTGTTGGGGCTCGATAACTCGTAACTAAACGATTTTTAAAACAATAATTTTGATGATATAATAAAGTTTCTAAGTCTGAGAAAGTGTGTATCAATACAAGGTATTGTGCCTTAAATCGGAAAAACGGTATTATGCTGAAAAGAAGTCAAAAATTGCATAAATATATCTCATTTCAAGTCAGACCCTTTTAAGCTTCTGTACTCTGACAAAGAACTTTACATCTCCCAACATTACTCGGGTCAACAGCCAGTGCGACTGTAGTCCAGTACCAAATTGTGATCTGGTCATCCATAATCTTTTCCAACCCACTGCTATTATGTCATCATAGCACATTGATGTGACTGATGATTGAGGGTAAATAACACGTGTCCCAATTATTTCGAACATATTTTGAATCGGTCTTAACAAGTACTCGGAACTCAAACATCCAACGAGAACTACTTTTAACCAGTAATTTTATGGACCACATTACAGCCATTGAATATACTTCATTTTAGAAAGCATGTCATCAAGTCATGAATAGAAGAAAACCCGGTCATATGTTTCAGTTAAAGACCATCCGGTCATTTAATAACCTGTAGACATTCACGTGCCCCCAAATGCCCTGGTACGGCCGAGAGTGGGGAGAGTCCGCTCTCCCTCTCGAAATGCTCTCACATGGCCACGCGTATATAGTCTCTGCCAGGGAAGTCCTACTCACTGCCTTCTCGTGGCGGGAGTGTTGCTTACGAAAATGAGAGGACGAAAAGCGAATGTCCGGCGCTTTAACCGGATTCCAAACCAATGGTGCACATGGGCTCCAGTATCCTGAGAGAACAAATGTCGTATGAACCTATTGTTAGTCACCGATTACCATGGGACTGCATCTGCTTACGTCGCTCCACTACCTTGTAGATTAGACCTTCAGGTCAAAGGCTCAGGATGTGGCCTCTAAGTAAACCACCTGCTTCGGTTTGGGCACCCGAGAAGTATCCCAACACTCAAATGATTTGTATGGTGCATATCTATTTGATGCCTCCTTGTACCAATGTTTTATGTGTTTAAATAAACGAGTTTAGTTGCAGTTTTGTTGCAAATATAGTGAATCATGTTTTTTCCCCGTATACTACCACTAAAGTAAATCCCCATCTTTTTTTCCTCTTCTTCTTCTTCTTCTTTGAAAATCAACTGTTTTTTTTTGTTTAGCCAAATCGTTTCTATTTCAATATTGAAACTTGTGGATCATTACAACCAAGAGCAATTATATTCTCTGGTTTAACTGTATTAAAAAGAAAATTACAAAATCTTTTAGATAATTTGACACAGGAAGGTCTTTAAAAATTATTTTAATTCGGAAATTTTTGTAAATATTTAATATTAAAACTTTATATGTAAATGATGTTCAAGTTTCGTTGTTATTTGTCTATTACTTACTTACGCCTGTTACTCCTCATGAAGGAACATAGGCCGCTTACCAGCATTCTCCAACCAAACTTGTCCTGGGCAATCCTTTTCAGCTCCTTCCAGTTGTTATTCATCTTTTTCATATCTGATTCTTTTTTCCGACGTAATGTGTTATTTGGCCTTCCTCTTTTCCGCTTCCCTTCAGGATTCCAAGTGAGGGTTTGTCTCGTGAAGCAGTTTGATGATTTGCATAATGTATGTCCTATCCATTTCCATCGTCTTTTCCTAATTTCCTCTTCAGCTGGAAGCTGGTTTGTTCTCTCCCAGAGAAGGCTGTTTCTGATGGTATGCGATCAATGGATGTTGAGTATCTTGTGTAGATAATCATTTATAAATACTTGTACCTTCTTGATGACGGTTATTGTAGTTCTCCAAGTTTCAGCTCCGTATAGTAGAACTGCTTTGTCGTTCGTATTGAAGATTCTCACTTTGATATTGGTTGACAGACAGTTCCATATATTCTTCAATTGTAGGAATGCGGCCCCTGCTTTGCCAATCCTCGCCTTTACGTCTGCATCTGAACCTCCTTGTTCATCGAGGAGGAGGATTCTACATCTTCCACAGTTTCGCCATTAAGAGTGATTGGTCTGCTGTTGTCCGTTTTGAATTTGAGGACCTTGGTTTTCCTCTTTTGTATGTTGAGGCCTACTGATGCAGAGACTGCTGCTACACTGGCTATCTTTATCTGCATTTGTTCGTGTGTATGAGATAGGAGGGCTAGGTATTTCTCTATTAGTTACTAAGTTACAAGTTCAAACCCGATTCTATTAAATTGGGTCTTTAAATGGTTAATATTTTTTTGCTATTAATGTAAGTAATATCTCCTGATTGCTGAATTCTATTATAGTGGCTTAGTTTTGTTAATCAATCAATCACCTTGTTAACCATTATTTTACAAATCTCAACGGTGTTCGAAAGGCAAGAAGAAGCGGTGACTACATTTTATTGGCGGATAACACGATAACAAAGTTACAAGTACATCGAGCGAATTCGGAGCAGAGAGGCTAATATGGTGTTGGCGAGCAAATACAAAGGTGAACTTACAGCGAAATAGAATCAATGCCCAGCAAATGTTATAAATAGGATTCGAGCATGTATATATATATATATATATATATATATATATATACATGAGAAAGAGAATGATTTATCGAGCGATATGTAAGTAGACT